TGGTGATGGTTGCACAACTCTGTAAATATACTAAAAACCACTGACAGGTAAATTTTATAGCATGTGAAATATATCTCAAAACATTTTATTTATTTTTAATTCATGAGAGACACAGGCAGAGGGAGAAGCAAGCTCCAGGAAGGAGCCCGATGTGAGACTCGATCCCCGATTCCGAGACCTTGCCCAGAGCTGAAAGCAGACGCTCAACCTCTGAGCCACCCAGGTGTCCCAGGGTCAATACAACTTTAAAAGAAAAAAGTGTCACACACACATAACATAAAGCCATAAAGTTTTCTGTATACACAGGCAGACTGAAAAAGAGAGGAACTTTGAAAGTCTTTTACTAAGTGAGAAGAGCTACTGTAGGAGCAGTTCCACCAGTGTCAGGGCTTCCCTTCAACCCACTAGGTCTTACCTCTCACTCTAGGTCCCATTTTCCCTGTAGTACCGGAAGCAAAATAATGTGAAGATTAAAGAGCTGGCTCTGCAGCTAGATTGCCTGGGCCTTTAAAAAAAATAATTAATTGATTAATTTGAGAGAAAGAGAGCATGAGTGGGGGGTGGGGGGCAGAGGGAGAAGCAGGCTCCATTAAAAAAAAAAAAGTTGTTTACAAGTATATGTAAGTCAGATGCAGGGCTCAATCCCAGGACCCTGGGATCATGACCTGAGCAGAAGGCAGCAGCTTAACTGACTGAGCCACTCAGGTGCCCCAGATTGCCTGGGTTTGAATCCAAATCTACCATAACCCATAGTCAGGCAAATTACTTAACCTCTCTGTGCTCTGTACGGGATGCTTGATTGGGTTGTTGTAAGGAGTAAAAGACATAATCCATGAAAAGTGCTTTTAAAAGTGTTATGGGAATTCATGAGAAGTTGACCATGTTTTTTAACAAGTCTCTCATTAGGAGACTTGTTTCTTAAAAAGGTTGCAATCCATTTCATTCTCCCATTTCTCTGACGTCCTTTCCCATATTACATGCCACCTCTAACTAATCAGACCAGACGCAAGCTTAATATAATGCTGACCAACCAGTCCTATGGTTCACAGAGGCTACCCCTACTCTCTGATAGTCATTTTCTGTGTTCCATTTTTCCCTATCTACCCATTGCAAGAACTATAGAATATGACTCAGGGACCATTGTTTTCAAAGGCCAAGGTCATTGTTACTATTTCTTCATGCTGTTACATATTCACCCCAAACTGTACAAGCATCTTGGTTTCTTGTCAACCCTGCAGACTGGATGAGCAGACAGGAGCCGAATCATGGGAATTGATAGTCATTTCGTGCTAACAATGTGCCAGCCACTGTGCTTGATTGTTTCATTTCATCTTCACACAACCTCCATCTTGTACACTATTATCCTCTTTGTCACATGAGGAAACTGATGACCAGAGAAGTTAATCTGTCAAGATCACACAGGTTCTAAGGGATGGAACGAAGATTCTAATCAATCTCTCTGCATCTTCAGATTCTACTCTCTTAACACTGTGTGGTATTGCTTGATGCTCCCCAGAATGGGAAAGAACTTGCCGCTAAGATTCTATTCCAGGGTAGGTAAAAGAGTTAAGGGTTAGAAATTATGTCTTAGATATCTAGGTGTCCTAAGTGCCTAGGACACTGCCTGATACATGATGGGAGCTCGACAATTTTGTCAAACTGCTTAGCTGTGCAATGGAATATAACCTCTCACATGGAATTAAGTGAACCCTCTGCATGCAGAGTCCTGCTTCTACTTGCACGACAATTAGAGGGTTTTGGAGTCAGAGAGATCTTAGAATTCTGGTTTTGGCATTTGGTAACTTTGTGACTTTGGACTTAACTCCTCTGAATCTTGAATCTCTAATCTGGAAAATGTAAAAAGTAGGTAAAAACAATACCTCCTTTTTGGCAGTCATTCCGATGGAATGAAATAAAGTTGCAGTGTTAGATATATAGTAGATACTCAATAAATGATAGTTATTACTATTGTTCCCTCATCCTTTCTTCCAAATAAGCCTTTGTGAGAGGTCAACTATATATTGGTTCATAACTTAAAATAAGTGAAGCAACAATCGCAATTCAAAGTGGAGTAATAAAAATAGCATTGAACTGGGAATTGGGAAATCTGTCTTCTGGCTTTTGTTGCCTTCCTTCTACCTAGCAGCTATGCAACCTTGGTCAAGTCACTTTACTTGTCTGGGCTTGTAATTCCATACCTCAAATTAGAGTCAATCTCTGAAGTCTCTAGGATCCTCTTAATCTACATGTCTGAGACTCTTTAAGAAATTATGTTGAGGAAGAATTACGCTTGGCTTGATCATTTCAAGCAGATTATATGAGTAACTGGAAAATACATTCATTAATTCATTGTATATAGTTACATGTTGTTCATTTATTTGAAACTTCATGAAGCACACTTCCTCCAAAAACGTTATCAACTTGGTTAAAAGCTACAAGACTCAAACCTACCACCTAGTGGTAAAGGAAAGAAAATACAGATTGAAGACAAGATGTCCCGCCATCACATGTGCAGGGTGGGTGTCCTCAGCAATGTTTCATTTCATGTTTTCCTTTTCCTTCACTACTCAGGATAGTTTTGTGTACACAGAAATTCGATACTTCCTTACTTAGTAGTTTGTTCATTTGACAGTTCTCTTTGGCAGGTGAAACATTGTGGACCTCTGAGAATTGTGGAATGATCATTGGTGTTAGATTTGGGGAGCAGAGGTGCCTTTCTCTACATACATTGCAAACCAGTTCCACCCAAGAGCCCACCTACTCCATCTCTTTATGGATAGACAGGGCATTCCACAAGTGCCTAGCTGAGATCAGGACCGCTATGTTGAAAAGACAGAAATCAATACACCAATGTGATTCTTGCCTGCAAGTATTTAATGAGTTTGTTTTGCCTATTACAGTAATTAAAATTAACTCTTCACATTAAATTTATATATCTAAAAGCAGGAATACACCGTCTTTAAGCTTAAACCCCAAAGATGAGGAAGAGGTAAAAAAAAAAAAAATCCTGGGTACTGGGTTTATTGGTAAAGAGGGACCTATTCCCCCTCCCCTTTTTTTTTTTGTTTTTGTATTCTGTCCCTGCACCCCTCATTCCCCTGCTTTCTCCTTTTGTTCCATTTTCTCTTTTCTCTTTCTGTCCCAAATAACAGGTCATTCAGATCAGAATAATGTTTAAACGGAACAGGTAGTGCTCTACGCAGGGTGATTTAATCATCCCAAGGTTTTCACCTGAAAATCCCTTTCATCATTGAAAATATTCGAGTGTCTCCAGAAATACGGAATCATGCCACTTTCCAGCACTCCGCTTTAAGTATTGCTAATTCAACCTTCTTTTTGAAATACCATTCTCATTTTGACACAATTTTCTTAAACCTCTTTCTACACCCACAGGAGAGGTTTTGAATGTGCCACCTGGAGAATCTCGCCTATGCTCAGCCTTGCTAGTAGGACCCTCTCAGTTTTCTGTTTAAAACGCTTGATTCCGTTTTTGCTGGGTGTGCAAACATTGGCCAGGTCTTTCGATGACTTAATAAATGAGATCCGCTTCAGTTTTTAATAAAAACTCTGGGGCTCAGTGCCTCCACGGGCATCCGGGCATTTATCCTTTTTTTTTTTTCTTTCTTTTTTTTTTTTTTAGGATTTTATTTATTTATGAGACTCAGAGAAGGAGGCAGCGGAGAGACCTAGGCGGAGGGAGCAGCAGGCTCCGTGCAGGGATCCCGGGATCGCGGCCTGAGCCGCCCCGGCGCCCCCGGGCATTTACTCTGAACTCGGCCTCTCCAACAGGTTCCCGGGAGGAGCAGTTGTGGCCGCGAAGTTCAGAGACGCAGTTACCGCGCAACTCGCAACAGTTGGTGTCGGGCGATAGGCAGGTTAGAAGTGATAAACGGGGCTCGTCTGAGAGACAAAAAGTTCCGGGAAGGGCGAGGAAGGGCAGCGGCGGCCGTGGGGCGCGCCGGGGGCGGCGCGAGCGGCTGCTCCGGGCAGGAGCCTCCCTGGGCGGCGGCGCGGCGGGGCGGCGGGGCGGCGGGGCGGCGGGGCGGCGGGGTGGCGGGGCGGCGGGGGGCCCGCGGCGCACAGGCGCCGACACCGCACGCCGAGCGGCCGCGCAGCCCCCCGAGCTCGCCGCCGGCGCACGCCCGAGCGCCCCGCCGACCGCGCCGGGGCCACGGCGAGGTGAGGCCGGCCCTGCCCCCGCGCCGCCCCCGGCGGGAGGCGCGACGCCCAGGCCTCGGGTGCGTGCGCGGCCCCGGGCGACGCGGCTGGGCGTGCGCGGGGCCGCGGCGGAGGCAGGGCCGGGCGGGCGGCAGAAGATGGCGAGGGTGTGTAGGCGGCAGCAATGCTCCGTTGAGAGACGCGGCTTTCGGCAGGAACTGGACTCGTGGCGCCACAAGCTCATTCACTGTGTAGGTGAGACCCTCCCCCGGCCGCCTCCGGCCCTCGGGCCGCCCCGCCACCGGCTGCCCCGGACGAGGGAGGGAGCCGGGGCACGGGCAATTGCCGCCCCGGCCCGCCCGCCCTCTTTGGCTCGGGCGTCCCCCTCCCCCACCCCCCGGAGCGCGGGCGCGCGCGACCTCCGGGCGGGCTCTCCCCGGCCCCTCCCCTCCCCTCCCCTCCGCGCGCCTTCCCCGGGGCGGGCTCTCGGGCGGGAGCGCGTGTCCCTTCCCTCCCCTGTCCGCCCCTCCTCCCCGCCCGGCGGCCCGGCGCCGCCGCCGGCTTATTGTGGAAGCTCGCCCCGCGGCGCTGCCACTAGACCGGGGGCGCCGCCTCGGGCGCTGCGGAGCCGGGCACCCGGGCCGGGGGTGGTGGGGGCCGCGCTCGGCCGCCGCCTCCGCTCGGCGGGCGCCTCCCCTCCCCTCCCCTCCCCTCCCCTCCCCCACGCGCGGCGGCGGCGCGCGCCCGGGTCCCCGCGTGCACGCGGCGGCGGCGGCGGCGGCGGCGGGCGGGCGGGCGCCCGGCGCTCGGGCGTGTGCGAGGCGTGAGGTGGAGATGGGGGCGGAGGGAGCCGGAGCTGTCACAGGCCCCGGGTCCGCCTGACCGAGCCAAGTAGGGTGTCATGGCCGCGGGGGGCAGCGGCTGCACTTCCTCTGCGGGCGGCGGCGGCGGCGGCGGCGGCCGGGGAGTTAATCCTCGACGCTCGGGTCGGTGTGTGTGTGTATTTGTGTTCGGTGTGTGCGCGGCGGGGCGGAAGGGGGTGGAACCGGGTCCGACCGAGAAGCCGGAGCGGGGGTCGCTCTTGTCCCCTCCCGAGGGATTTGCTGGAGCCGCCGCCTCGCCGAGAGCCTCGCCGAGAGCCTCGCCGAGAGCCTCGCCGCCCACCGCCGAGTCCCCCAGCCTCCCGGGCCCCGGCTGGCCCTTTCCCCACGGGCAGGAGGGAGTGTGGACGGGGGCGCCCCGGGAGGGGCCGGGCGGCTGAGCTGCGCCTCTCACACTGTGTGTTTTGTCTGTTTTTCTCTCCCAAGGTCCCGTTTCCCTCTGTGCGGCGGCCGGCGGGACCATAAGGGCTTAACTCATATATTTAACCCCCCTCCAAAAAGTAAGTGGCCCGTGTGGTGTCTCCGCTCCGCCCGCCGCCCCCTAGCCCCAGTCCATCCTTGTGTCTGACTCTCCTGTCCCCCAGCATTGTTATTTCCCCATCTTTGGTGCGGTGCTGCTGCTGCTGCTGCTGCTGCTGCTGCTGCTGCTGCTGCTGCTGCGTGGGGAGATGCTTTCTCGTGCTCCTCCGTCCCGCAGGCCCGGTCTTCGGGGAGGCGCAGAATTCCAGCCCCTTTTCCCCTTCTCCCCCCGTGGGGAATATTCTTGGGAACCAGGTCTTCCCCAGCAGAATCTAGGAGATTCTATCCGTACGCTTGGGCCCCTCATCCCCTCCTTCCCGACAGGGTTTCGTTGGAAGGAATTATGCAAATCCTGCTTTCTGGTGTCCATTCAGCGGCAATTTCATGCGGTGAGAAGTTCTCTTTGTTGTGCGAGGGGGAGAACAGACACTGATTTAATAGACATATCTGTTGGGGGGAAGGGTGGAGGGGGTGTGGAGAGGCTCAGTTTGGAAGAATTACAGCACTTGGTTAGCTCGGTGTCTTTGTGTTTGAGCTTTCTGGCTTGACAGGAGGGTATGCCCTTTACAATGTCCCACAAGAGATGTTTTCTGTAATAGATTAAAAAGCAAAACTGAAACTTTAAGTGAAACATAAGGTAACCTTTACCTAGAGAATATAAGCCTTTCCATTTCTGAAGTGTTTCATTATGAAGATCTATGTGAATTTTGTTAAACGTTTAGGCTGTAACATCGAAATTAAAATAGGCAGCAACCCTTTAAGGTATCTGATATCCCTTGGGTTGTCCACAGGTTAAAAGTACATTTGTAAAATACGCTTATGTAAGTAATAAAGGCACGAATCAATTTTTTTTTTTTATATAAGCTGACTTGTGGATGTATTTTAAATTTTCCCTCCTGCCAATCCAAGCCCAGCTCTGCTCTCCAAAAAGCCTTTTGGTTATCGGTTATCATTTACTGTGTCTCTGCTTGTATTTTTTTCAAATCTCTAGTACATTTGCTAAAATGTTACATCAGATTAAGCTCATTTTGAATTACTTATTATAACCATCATATGAGTTTATGAAGGCATGTAGGTTTTGAGAAGAGTGAAATTAGTGCGTTTTCAGAATTATGAATATAAAATCGTGAAATTAGTTTGAAGAATTTTTAGTTCTTGTATTTATTTCTCTTTTTTTCATGATTGGTTTTTTCAGTAGGGCTTTTTAGTTTTTAAAAGATTTTGAAATTGACTTAGCCCTGTAGATTCCTTAAGTTACTGTTACTCTAGTTTAGATGGTTTTAACGCGTTGTTGGTCTTATTCTGTTTGCTTTGAATACCTTGCCTTCTGCCTCAGGCCCCCTTTTTATCGGTCATTGCGAGTGTTAATGGTTACTTATTGCTGCTTGACAAGGTTGTATTTTATTTTTTCTTTTCTCTTAATGACAACAAAATTGTGTAAATATATGAATATCAAATTTTGATTTGTTTTTTTTTGTAGGGGGGTTTTAATCTAGTCCTCAGTTTTCTTAAAACATACTTTTAACTCCAAATTTCCACTTTGAAGGTGGTAAAGTTCAGGAGATATTTAAAGTCCAGAGGGCAGAGGAGTAATACATAGTTGATAGTCTCACAGCTAAAATCAATTGGGTTTCATATTTTCTCTTTTATTATATGTAATTTCTTTAAGAAGGGTTCTAAGTAAATCAATAGTAGTGTTAACTTTCTTTACTTATAAAGGTTAGCAGTGATTCTCATACAAGGAAAAGGCAGCTATGTGGTTTGTCACTAGCAGACGAAATAATTCCTCGTTTTATTTTAATGAGATTGGTTCTGAACAGTTAACCTTCTATTTGATTCTGTTGACTGATTATCTTAGTACTTGAGGGTCATTTGGTTTCTAAATGATACTTAATTTACAGCAGTCTTTGGATTTAAAATGAATTCATTTTTAATTCTCATTTATTCCCAAAATCTAATTCTTTTATTTTGGGGGGTTTGTAGTGGGTGCATCAGGATTGTTGGAGGTGTTTGTGTTTCCATTATTACATTTTAGTTGAATTGGAGTCAGCAGTTTCAGACAGTGATTATGATCAATCAAGATGGATATTTGGTAACCAGGTGATTATTAAGGTGTCCTCTGAGACTATGGCAGTCCATATTTCAAGAAGATTGAGGTTCTCTATGTTGCTTGGTGTGATGTAACCTTTTGCTTGGCTGCTCCTCATCCTTGCTGTATTCTTAAAAAGCTCTTCTCAATGTAGGGAAAGTTTTGCTGATTTCACCTTAGCTCTAGCTTGGCTGAAAAGGATAGCAGAGTTAATTAAGTCTCTTTGACTTAACATAGTTATTTCATATTGCCCTGATTCCCTCAGATGTGCTGGTAATCAGAACAATTCTAGGAAATCTCTGAATAATGCCTTTTTTCTTCCTTTTCTTTTCTTTTCTTTCTTTTTTATTTAGCCTTATGGGCTATACTGGATGGCCTGTAATTTTTTTCAGAGTGAGAATTAGGTGTTCAGTGTCTGTGGGGACTTGCCATCTCTGAGCACCCACATAATTACTTAGCTACTTATATTAGTGCTGTTTTTAGGAATCAAAGGCGGTTTAGGTAAGGACTTCATTTAATTTTGAATCTGCTGTGGGCAGATGACAGTATTGGGGAATCTACCCTAATCTTCAGGAACTTTTAGTACTTAGAGAAAATATAGTGTGTTCAATAATAGTACAAGGCAAAATGTGCCATACTGTGGCGCAAGCAAGTCCTAGGGGTGTTTAAAAGTGAAAGAAATCTCTCGAAATGATGTAGGAAGGCTTCATGAAGAAGGTGGCAGATTTTAGCGTTATTTGATGAATACAGAAGAGTCACTCCTGTCCAGAGAAAACAAATAAGCAAAAGTGGCAAAGAAGAATGAGATGAGACCGTGATTCATGTAGGGGATGTATAGATGATAGGTTTGCAAAAGTAGCTTTTGCAAAAGGATTTTCTAATGCAGGTTAAAAAGTGGGGTCTCTTTGTTACGCACCTTGGGGGTTTACATTGCATTTCACTCCTTAGCTCAGGAGATGAATGTTTCCTTTATTTGAAGATTTCATTTTGGAACTCAACAATGACACATAATTGTTTTTTAAATCACCTTCACGGGAATGATGTTATACAAAACTGTCTCTTCTCATTTGGAGGCTGTACTTTATTACATTGCTCAAAACCTATTTTTGCAGTTGTCTAAAATCAGTGGTATATGTATTCTTTTTTTTTTTTTTTTTTTTTTTTTTTTTTTTTTTTATAAATTTTTATTTATTTATGATAGTCACACAGAGAGAGAGAGTGAGAGGCAGAGACACAGGCAGAGGGAGAAGCAGGCTCCATGCACCGGGAGCCCGACATGGGATTCGATCCCGGGTCTCCAGGATCGCGCCCTGGGCCAAAGGCAGGCGCCAAACCGCTGCGCCACCCAGGGATCCCTGGTATATGTATTCTTGAAACATCTCTTGTATTGCCAAATATTCATCCTTAAAGATTGCATTTGGTATTTGCAAACATAGTCCAAAAGCATTTTTCGTGGCAAATACAGGTATATGTTAAATAATGAGATTGATTTTCTTTGCTGATTTGCAAGCTGGCTGTGAAGCTCAGCAAAGGGGTTTGATTTGTTTTGATATGCCTCAGAACTTCTCTTTTGATTCTTAATTTCTTTATGTCTACCCATCTGTTGTACGGAATCTGGATATTGGCTAGATGTTAATAAACAAAGCTGTTGTTTAGTAATTTCAGGTTAAAACCTTACCATCACTACTCTCCAAATTATCTTCTACTCTATTTGCGAGTATTTTAAAAAATCCTTTTACTGTTCCTTACAATGGCACATTGTTTTGGGGATAATCCCAGTGTGAATTATTAGCTGATTGTAAGTCTCTTGTATGCAGGAAATATTCCAATACGGTGGTTTGTACCCTGAAGTTTTTCTTTTTTTCAATTGAGGTATAATTTACATACTTTAAGATTCACCCTTTTACAATATTACAATTCAGTAATTTTAGTTTATTCACTACATTGTTTAAACATCACTATATAGGGGATCCCTGGGTGGCTCAGCGTTTTAGCGCGCCTGCCTTTGGCTCAGGGCGCGATCCTGGAGTCCCGGGATTGAGTCTCCCGTCGGGCTCCTGGCATGGAGCCTGCTTCTCCCTCTGCCTGTGTCTCTGCCTCTCTCTCTCTCTCTCTCTCTCTCTCTCTCCCTATGTCTGTCACGAATAAATAAATAAATATTAAAAAAAATCGCTATATAATTCCAGAACACTTTCATTACCCAAAAAAGAAACCCCATGCCCATTAGCAGTTATTTCCCATTCCATCTGTGACCCCAGCCATTGGCATCCCCAATCTGCTTTCTGTCAGTCTTCTATATTTCATATAAATGTAATCATACAATATATATGGCCTTTTGTGTCTGACTTCTTAGCATGTTTTTAAGATTTATCCATGTTGTAATGTTGTAGCATGTATCAGCACTTAGTGCTTTCTATGGCTAAGTGCTTTCTATGGCTAAGTAATATTGCAATTGTATGGACATACTATGTTTAGCATTCATCAGTTGGTGGGCAATGGTATTGTTTCCCCTTTTTGCCTGTTGTGAATTATATTTCTGTGAACATTTGTTTTCACTTTTCTTGAGTGTGTATTTAAGAGTTAAATTCCTGGGTCATATAACTTAATGTTTGAGGAACTGCCAAACTTCTTTAGTTTTTTTAAAAATATTCTATCAATTTACCTGAGAGAGCAAGAGCGAGAGCACAGAGGGAGAAGCAGACTCCTTGCTCAGCAGGGCTCAGTCTCTCAGGACCCAGAGATCATGACCTTAGCTGAAGGCAGCTGCTTAACTGACTGAGCCACCCAGGGGCTTTATTTATTTTTTATTCATTCATTCGTTCCAAACTGTTTTCTAAACCAGCTGCAGTCCCTGTTTTACATTCCTACCAGCAATGTATGAGGATTCCAGTT